TCACGGAGTAAAATGGCCTTTTTGATGAGGTTGAGGAAGCGGTCGACCTCGTCAGCGCCATTGATGGAGAGATCAATGATAGGGTTTGATTCAAGGTCTATTAAGAGGATGTTAAGTGGTGGCTTCGACCTCAGTTATGAGGGAGGTGGGGATGCCGTCAACGTTGGTGTGGTGGCCTGAGTTGAGGAGGTCGGTGATGCGTTGGACGGGGTGGATGGCGGTGGAGCCATTGCCGAGGCTGAGGAACATGCTAGAGTGCACATTCTCTATGGCGTAGTAAGTAGCGGTGCACTTAAGGAGAAAAAGGAGAGGTGGATGAGAGAAGTCATGAGTGGAGGAAAAAAAGGAGGCGGTGCGCTTAATTAGTAAATGCTAACTATTTGGGACTAGTAGTCCTATGTATTTTGAAATACTAGTTGAGATGCATGTGATTAAATATCATGAGATGAGATGCACGTGTAATGCACGTGGTTGAATATCGTGATTATTTAAATTGATGAAAATAGAGTAAATTTTTTTTTTGTGGGATTGATCATCAACTCAATAATCTCTCTTAAATAAAATTTTGTCATTGTTTCCTTCAACCCAAACTATGGCCACGTGATCTACTATTTGTGAGTTATAAACACATTAATCTAGTGCAACATATCTATTTATTAGTATCTTGAAGTTTTCAAACGATGGGTGATCATTCAATTAGCAAAGAAAATTTACATATGAATTTACTTTCAATATATATGTTCATTAAACTTTTAGTTGTAGTTTGACTTATATTCACGTTAACTTTTAGTTGATGTTTCACTCATATTTATATTGTCTAATATTCTCATTCAATTTTATAGCTCGTTCTCTGTATCATAGAAGTAAAACTAAAAGTATGAAGAATTATTTTCTTACGAAATTAGAATATGGAGATTATGATATATTTCGCAGTGTGCTCTAAATATAAATATTTTTTTTTCTTTAATGCAAGGTCCCTATCAAATCTCACCCCAAACAATGTGAATAAAAAATAATATTATAACTCACTTGCATAGGGCAATTATATTATATATAGGATACGTAACTCATCTGAAATATCCATATCTCCTAAGTGGATTTTGATGTTGTGAGAGCAGCATGTTAAAGACTCGTATTCAAACTTTTTGGCTCTATAAAAGACACAAAAATATGGAGTGCATAGCTTATATATCGTAAATAACATATCAATTTATGAAGATTTTTTTCCTAATAATGATATTATTACAACGATATTACTATTTAATATTAAATCAATTTTATTATATAAGATTATATGACCATTTTTAATAAATTATAAAGTATATGTATAGAAACCTCAATACTTATAGCCAGTAGTTGGACTCCACAAAATAGGTTAACTTTATATTGTAGTTTGCTATTTGTAGTATTCTTGGCAATGTCATTACCTTTCCTCTTTATCTTATTATTCACACTTTTCTAATGTATGTTCTCTTTTGCTAATCATTCAATTGACTATATTTAGTTTTTATAATATCAGAGGTTAGAATATTCTCTTCTATTTAAAAAGTGTTGACATGATTTTTTTAAAAAATATATACACATAGTAGCAATAGTATATACTTCAATGCAACTCAAACATTGGCTTGAAGCCATTTAGAGTGAGCTCCTTCTATGCTAGAATGGTGATATAGTGATTACACAGTCTAAAAGTCAAAAAAGAAATTTCTACAAATAAAAAATAATTTAATATGTCAAATTAAGAACTAATTTATAAAATATACATGGGCAGTGCAGATAGCTATAGAAAGTAAGGTATATATCTTCATAAAAATTTTATAGTGAATGACCAACTACAATCATCCTAATTTAAACATAAATAATTATTATTTTAATTACTAATTTGATACACGTAACTATGGAATAAATCTCCAGCAAAAAATAAGAATTGAGAATGTATTATATTGTAGGTAAATAAATAAATGTTATTAGAGCTCATCTTTATGTTAAATTTAAAAGTAATAATTTAAATTATTAAGCACCAAATATTAGCTTATGTGAGAAAGTTCTTTATGTTAAATTTAAAAGTAATAATTTAAATTATTAAGCACCAAATATTAGCTTATGTGAGAAAGTAAAGTAATCTATGGTCTATATACGTATATAGTCAACTAATCAAACGTATTAAAATTATGATGACCACAGTTAAAATTATATGGTGGGTTCACATTAAATATAATTTGTTAAAAATACTACATTAAAGTCAAAATCTTTTTAACCACTATATAGACTGTCTGAAATTTTTTGGATATATAAACTATACTACCTAGGAATAGTGATGTGCATACTTAAGTATGGTCTAATAATCTTAAGAACGACTTATTCTTCAATATCATTATAATTGATGTATATGTGCATTACACTGAAAACATAATGAAAATTTAGAAAACTATAAAATAAACACTCTCAAAAGTTTAAAAATGTAAAAAACACCCTAAAATTTGTAATTTATAAATACACAAAACTATTAAACATTACATTAAAATCAAGAAATTACAAAAAAAGAAAATTTTCAAACTTTGGAGGGGTAATTTGTAATGTACTAAACTTCAATGGTGTTTTTTTATAAATTTTAAATTTAATAGATTTTTAATTACTTATGTTCTTTTCAAAAAAGTTATGAGTAATGTTTACCATGAAAAGTTTTTCTTAAACCTATACTTTAAAAAGGTGTATGATATTTTTTACAAAATTTTATTTTTCTAGGGGTTGATAGTAATTTTGCATATTCATTTTAGTGTCTATAGGTTAGAAATTCTCATGGTGTTTTTTGTAAATTATAAATTGTAAGAATTTTTTATAAAATTTTAAACTTATAGGCCTTTTCTACAGATTATAAATTGTTTATAAACTATTTATAATTCCTATGCTTTCAATTTACTAATGAATTTGAAAATTTTAGGGTTTTTTTATAATTTTGAATTTTAAATGTTTGTTTGTAATTTTTAAAATTTTAAGGGTGTTTTTTATAAATTATAAATTATGTAGGGGATATTTAGAATTCCTATATTTTAATGTACTTAGAAATTATCATCATTTTTGTAAATTTTACAATTTTGAGGGTTTTATTTTATAATTTGTAAAAAAATTAAGTGTGTATTGTGAATTCCATAAATTGTTGGGGGTTATTTGTGTTATTTGTAGTATTTAGTATGTTTATAGGTTTGAAATTTTCAAGGTATTTTTTTTATAAATTTTGAATTTTTAGGGGTGTTTTTATAATTTTTAAAACTTACAAGATATTTTCTCTAAAGTCAAAAAACTTGTAGTTTTTAGTTAGCATATATTTTTGAGATTTCTTACTGAATTGAGATAAGTAAAATTTATAATTTTTAAGATGCTTTAATAAAATTTTGAATTTGTAGGGGTGTTTTTGTAATTTAAAAAACATGGAGAATATTTTTTACGAAGTCCATAAACCTTTAGGTGTTGGCTAGCATATGTTTTTTAGATTTTTCTACGAACTAAAATAATTAAAGGATTTGAATTATATGAAACATATCAATTTTATCCAATAACATGTTAAGTCTCATTATGAATAGAATAAATCATTTGGTTACAAATTCAAAGAAGATAAGATAATTAGAATAGATTTGGATAACAATATAATATTAAAAAAATGTAAGGGTAATATTGACTATAGAAAGATTTTTCAAACTCGTACTTTTAAAAGGAGTATGATATGATATGGTTTATTTTGCAAAATCGACCGTTTTTCAACATGTTATGCTGACATGACGAAAAAAGATTGATTTTGCTAATTAAAATTCAAGACGGTCGATTTTGCTAATAAAGTTAAAGAAAAGGTCTTTTTTAAAAAAATTCTCCTTGTTTATTCCACCTTGCACTTACTTAGGGCCTGTTTGTTTGCACAGAAGTAATTGTGAAGTAGCTGAAGTAAAAAAAGTAGAGGCTACTTCTGCTACTTTCAAGCAAAAAAATGTGTTTGGTTCTCTGAAAAACTTACTTCCAATACTTACCTAAATGCTTATGTGGCGCCTACGTGTCATCCTTACTTTCAAAATATTTTTACAATCCTCAATACTCAGAAGTAGCTCGGAAGTAGTTGAAATGCATATTAATTATGGCATAAATAAATTTTTTTATTAATATTTCCTTTATTAGTTACTTCTAACAACTTTTCATTGATAAAATTACTTCCTAATAATATTTTCAAATGTTATCCAAACAAAAAATATAAATGAAGAGGAAGAAGTTCAACTTCCATTACTTCTAAAAATATATGAAACAAATAAAAAAAATGCTATTTCCACTACTTCCTACTTCATAGCTTTAAAAATTACTTCTATAACCTACTTCTTACTTCTAATACTTCCATTATCCAAACGGACCCTTAGATGAACTTTTTTTTTTAAATTGAATAAAAAATGCTTCGAAGTATTTAGGTTATGCAAGTAAATATTCTAAAATTCCAAAATATTGCATGGTAGTAGTGCCTTCTTCTTTACTTAATGTTGCATATAAATACCCCAAAATTTGTAAATGGCTTCACTTAAATACCCGAAAGTTTCTAAGTGTTTCATTTTAGTACTTTCTATTATATAACATAGAGAAAAGATAACGTCATTTGGTTTTTTTAACTACGGGGTATTTATCTGCAACACTTAAATATTCTAGATATTTTTCTTTGTTCTATTTGAAACTATAGGATATTTAAGTGCAAGGCTGGGAAAACTCTTAAGGCATTTAAGTGCTATTAAGCCGATACCCTAACCACCCATTAGGGTTTGAGTAAAATGTAATAAATTTCAATGATTTGAGGGGCTAACCTCTAAATAAGCCTTTTTTTAATTCCCCGCATACATCAAGTCCAACCTAATAGGTGCGGTGTGTTCCGATCAGACCGACCGCGGTTAATTAATCAGACGGTAGCGGGGCCCACGCAAGGAATCCCCCCATTGATTCAATAGCCTCCGCTGCCAATCTGCGAAACACAAAACACAAAAACAAAAAAACCAAAAAAAAAAGAAAAAAAGAAAAGAAAAGAAAAGGAAAAAAAAAACCAATTTTGGAAGTTTCTCCTTTGTTAGCATCCAATCAATCTAAAGAGAAGAAGAAGAGAAAAGAGCGAGTTTTCCTTTTCCCCATCTGGGGGAAATGATCACGCGCTCCACTCTCGTCGAGCAGCTCCGAGACTACCAGATCCGATCTCAAAACAAGTGGGTCCCCCTCTGTTCTTTCAAAAAAAAAAAAAAAAAATTAGGGCTAGTTTCAATTCAAGACGGTTTCTTTTTAATTTTGGTCCTTAAATCTGAAATATCTGAATCTTGTTAAACTGTTTGTAATGGGGTAGATTAATATGGATATTTGTATAATGAACAGTCGACTTATGTGAATGTCCACTAGTTATCAGATTGATAATTCTCTAGTTTGGATATTGTTAGTTGACTAATATTCAATGTCAACCTGAAGACGACATTTGGAAGAACTTTGTATGTTTAGTGGAGTCATGACTTGATTTTTTACCGCTACATAGAAATCGAGAGTCTTTACGCAAATTTGTAGATCATTTCTGTAGCTCTCTATTTATATTTCTATGTGTTGTGTTGATGTTAATAATCAAACATGTAATATAATGAGAGTGAGGTTGATTAGAGGGGCCGCTCACTTCTCCGAATATCTGGTTTTGAGTCGAGTGGCTTCAGCTTGCACAAATGACAATTCGTGAGAGGACGGGGACTAATTTGTGAGAGGACGGGGACTAGTTCCCCCGTGGTTCCTTAGAAGATCAATTCAGTTGATGGACTTGAGTGGAAAAACGAAGAACTGTGTGAGTTCTGAAGTGTAGTGCGGTATAATTTGCAGATATAGCTTGGAAAAAATAGCCTCTTGGAAAAATCTTAGATCTTGATATTTAGAATAGTACGTCTATTTATTAGTGGTGGAAAAATGGGTAGAATGCTAATCTCGTCCGAACACAGGATGACGACAAACGAATATGTCATGGCGGCTATGTCAGCACCTACTTTACAGGTGTCAGTTGGCGAGTGGAGAAGAGGTCACCTCAGCATTTAATGTAAAGTGATCGGGGGCATAGCGGTGCCGATGTGGTTCGATGAGTCATGAAGATTATCGGGGCTAGAGGTATGATGGCGTCCGCCAAACATTAAATGTGACGTCGACGCGTTGTCAGCGGGAGAGGCTTGAGGTTAAAATCGTTCTTTGAGTTGGCCGAGAAGTAACGCTTTTCAAGTCGATCCCGTATGACGTCGAATAACTGGTCGAGTGGGCTCTTAGCGAGTCGTCTTCGACAAGAGAACCGACAAGTATCGTCCTTCGAGTCGATCTAAGGAGATGTCGACTTGACGAGTCAGCTAAGTCGAGATTCTTGGACCTAACCGTCAATTTGTTTTGAGCGGTGCATGCAGGGGACACCTATTCGTTGCTGGCAAATGACTATACTTTGACGACTGAAAACACCATAACACTATGTTTGCAATGTTAGCTTTATATACAATCAATAAACTAAGGCTCTTAGGCCTTTTCTTTTTTACTTAACAAAAAATCTTGTATTATTTTTAAAACTTTGATTTTGACATTTTGTATTAGAGCACACGCTATGTATGCTACATCACACCTATGTCTTGGTGTTGAATCAATTTAGGGAGCATGTTTTGTTCCTTTATGTTTGCATAATTCATATAACACGCATCAATGTTTATTACAAAGCGGGAAAGTGTAAAATATTTGCATTTTAGCTGGAATAAAGGGATAATATTTTATTATCGGATTGGTTCATAGGCTTATAGATTATTATATAAGAATAGATGGAGCAGGGCAAGTTTTCTCTCCCTTAGTAGGGTTGATTGCGCTCTATGTATAATTGTTTTAGAGTCTGCATTAATCTTTTGTTTTTTTTGTCAATGAATTTTTTTTATTCATTTACCAAATATGAAATGTGTAGTACATCAAATGTCCAAGAGCAAAGTCTGGAAACTAACTATCACAGAAAGTATATATTACAATTTCTCAAGTTTCTCCTTCATGTGGATTGGAATTTTTTTTCATTTAGAACTTTAGAATTAATGGAAATCTTCACTGCACGAAATAGAAGGTCGAAGGTCAGACTCCCGAGCTTTATGTTGAAAAATTCTCAAGTTCCTTTCCTGTCATATCAAATTCACCGTGACTGATAATGTCATCCTTTTCAATTTTTTTTATAAAACCCACTCCCTTCAGGTTAAAGCAATACTAATTGATGATTAGATTCCAATTGCAAGATCTCCAAGCAAAGTCCAACCAATTCATTACTTTATTCCAAACATGAGCAGCATACTGACATTCAAAGAATAAATGTTGGCAGGTTTCCAATCTATGGTTAGAACATAAGACATATTTATTTGTGTCCATCATTCTCATTCTGCATAATCTGTCCTGGATTAATAATCTGGAATGAATGACTAACCATAGAATAAATGAATGTTTAGGATAATGCAATCCCTTCCAAATTGTTTCAGACCATGTAGCTTGATATGTTGAATGAGTTAAAACTTTGTAAATAGAGGATATTTGAACTTTACCATTAGCACAACAGCTATTGATGATATTCAGCAAGTTATCGAAGCTACCAAATTTGCCTCTCATCATATCCCTCATTCTGAGGAGTTGTCTCCACATCCATGAGTCACTCACTTTAGATGGAACCTACCATATATTGGATTGTTGTAAATAGTTATCATGAACCCATTTAATCCAAAGCATATATTTTTTAAGATGAATCATCCAAAGTAACTTAATTGCAGCTGCATAATTCCAGAACTTTGCTGAAAATAGCCCTAAACCCCCTTGCTTCTTGTCCTGACAGATGGTAGCCTAGGAAACTAGATGGATTTTTTGACCCCAGAGGAAAACAGAGCACAAGCTATCAATTTTCTTTAGAACCTTGACCGACAGAATATAGTTACTGCTCCAAAAAATTGAACACTCAATATAACTGACTTAATCAGTGGGAGCCTCCCAGCATATGATAGATTCCTCTTTTTTTGCCAGCCCTAAAGTTGTGCAGAAATTTTACTGATCAGTGGGGAGCAATCTAGCCAAGATAATCTCTTTGAGATTAATGGCATGCCCAAATAGCGCACTGGTAACATCCCCTCTGAAAAGTTTAGATATGTGCATATCTGAGACTTTAAACTATCATCAATGCCACTCATATACACAGAGCACTTTGCATGATTTACTTCTAGACCTGATACCTGTCTAAACTCAAGAAGACAATTGTATATTCTTGTTATTGAATTCATGCCAGCCCTGCTAAATAGAAGGTCATCAGCAAAGGTGAAGTGTGTGATCCCTAATCTGGAACATTTTGGATAAAAATTGAATAAACTGTCATTTTTAAGTGAACTTAGTTTCCTTGACAGATATTCCATCCCAATCACAAACAAATAAGGAGAAAGGGGGTCACCTTATCTTAAACCCCTTGCTCCTTGAAAAAATCCATGCAGAGAACCATTTAGAGATAATGAGTATTTTGGTGTGGAAACACACTCCATAATCCACATTATCATTTTGCTAGGAAAACCCAATCCTTCCAACATGGATCTAAAAAAAATCTCAACTTATGGTGTCAAAGACTTTTCTCACATCAATATTTAAAATAGCTCTTGGTAAGATATGCCTTCTACCATAATGCTTGATGAGTTCATGAGCTAAAATAATATTACTTGAAATGAGCCTCCCCTTGACAAAAGCATTTTGTGCATCACTAAACAAGTATCCTATAACTTTTTGGATTCTACTAGCAATAATTTTTGTTATAACTTTATAAACACAATTGCAATATGATATTGGCCGAAAATCAGAAGCTGTTTTGGGGTTGAGAATTTTTGGTACCAAAGTAATAGATGTAGCATTGAACGTACCTAGAAGCTTTCCAGTTCGAAAAAAATTCCTCAGAAGCTTGATAGAGGTCTTCACCAATAATAGTCCAAGCCGCTTTGAAAAAAGATGCATTGTAACCATCTGGTCCAGGAGCTTTTCCATCTGACATTGAGAAAAAAACTTGTTTGATTTCCTTGGAATGTTTCTTTGGCTAGGAGAGAGTATAGGGTCATTTGAAATCACATTCGGATCAGGATTGATAGTAGAAACTACAGTACTCAGAAGTTTCTTATAATAATCAATGAACTCAGTGATAATCTCATGCATATCAGTGATCCTACATCCATTCTCAGTATATAGGGATAATACTCTGTTGTGGTGCCTTTTAGTTTTCATAATAGAGTGGAAAAACTGAGAGCATTTATCCCCATGCAATCCCCAATTGATGTTGGCTTTCTATTTATAAAAAGAGATTTCAGATATCAATGTTGGGTTGAAAAGGTCAGCATTCAGCTATTTTTGAATGTCAGCTAGTTCCTCTTTAGCTCTTATCACTTGCTCACTTATGTTCATGAAGTGTTTCTTATTCAAATCTTTGAGAACAAACTTCAGCTTTTTGAGCTTTGTATGAAACTTGTACATATTACAACCATTGATGTTTTGTTCCCATACTGATTTGACTGACGAGATAAAATCAGGATGCTTTGCTCACATATTAAAAAATTTGAATGGTCTTTTACCCTCAAAATCTTCATCTCCTATTGTTAGAAGAGCTAGAGAATGGTTAGAACAATTTGGCATTAGATACTTCACTTGACTAGATGTGTAGTGATGAATCCAGAGCTCATTGACCAAAATTCTATCTAATCTGCTCTAAACTCTTGTATCAGTCTCTTGCTTATTGCACCAAATAAAATAACATCTAGTTGATCTGATATGTATTAACTGGCTAGAGGTAATTAAATTCTGGAAATCCTCAGTGTCAGTATCAAATACTTGTGCACCCCCTAGCTTCTCCTCATTGTTGATAATTGCATTAAAATCACCACCAACCAACCAAGGACAATTAACATTCTGTTTGAATGCCAGTAAATCCTGCCATAGAGCTCTCTTGCCTTCCATTTGATTGAAAGCATAGACTATAGTAATTAAACATGAAAGCCTGCTATCATTTGATTCTATTGAACATGTCATGTATTGCTCTGAGGATATTATTCTCTGAACTGTGAGAAAATCATATTCCAGAGTATCCAGATTCTCCCATTATTTGCTTCATGAATATTGAAAGTCCACTCCCAGTCTTTTGCTATTTTCTTAGCTATGAGCTGCATCCTACTATTAGCAACTTTTGTTTCTAAAAGAGCTAAAAAAGGAAGGTTATAATCATGAATAAATTGCTTCACAATCATATGTTTAGAGGATTTATTAAATCCTCTAATATTCCAGATGGCTAGATGCCTTATTGGAGTGATCCACCCCTATCAATACTATAGGGGTCTAAATCTGATATCTGATGATCCAAGGGAGAGAAATGAGATGCTTGAACACATGAAGTCCCTGCAACATTTGCATTAGCTCTTCTTGCTGTATTTGCTCTATTAACACTTATAAAACCAGTTGCATTTATAGTTGGTGAAACTGGTTAGTGTAATTTAGCCCTGGGTTCCTGATACTGATTTCACTTGCATCAGCCACTGTTTGTGCATGTTTTTCATGAATTGATGCAACTTGACCAGATTGTCTAGAATTATCCCCCCTTTGTTGTGCTGCATTAGTCTTTTGTTGATGCACCTTGTATACTAGATAATCGGACTTAAGATAAGTTTACAAAATTTAACTGAATTATTATCAGCTACTCGCCTATTATGTTGTTAGACATTGATTCTACAATATTTCATCTCCTTATCAGGTACAACTACAGGTTCCTTTTTTTTAAAAGAGAAGCTACAGGTTCCTTTTTTTTAAAAGAGAAACTACAGGTTCCTTTAACATAACGGAGTTTATATTGCTTTTATGCCTTTCCAAGATAAAATATTCTTCTTTTGGTCCCTTTTCTTCGTTTGCTCCTCTCTATATTTTTACTCTCTTTTCCCTTTCTTTCACTTGAACATGTATTTTGCCTTATGCTTCTCGTTATCTTTGTCATGTCTTCTTTCTGTTTTTTTCTATTTGCCTTTCATCTCTTTGCACTTTGGTCTAGGTTGCTCATATTGTGACATGGTGCTTCTTCTGCTTTATGTTGACATTTCACTCATGTTTGCACTAAAACTTTGAGTCAATATGGCATTTTAATTGTTATAAAACTTGGGTAATTCTTGGGAACCAGTTCTGCAATCAACTTGTATTGCTAATTGAATGATGAAAACCGAGTGGCGGAGACGTCCTTTTAATTAGTGGGGGCATGAAGCACAACTGTGAATTTCCTAGTTATATTATCAACAGGATATTAGTTTTCTCGTTTTGTTATTAACCTTTTCCACTTCCTTTTATTGATAAAAACTGGAGATTTTATGTTTAATAGCATTTATTTGTCATATCTCGGAAATTTCCAGGTTCTGATGCTATTATCAGCATAATAATAGATATTCTTACTTTCAAGCAAGTACTTTTTTCCATATTGTTTATCTAAATATGGTATATTGTCTGAGCAGGCGGGATGTTATTGGACTTCTTGCTTGGGGAGTAGTATTTTGTTCTCTCGTGATAGCTTCCTATGTGATACTCTATTTTAGATATCATAGGCTTTCAGCAGCTATCGTTTTGGTTGGAATCCTTATTCCCATATGTGTGTTTATTAGACAGAGAAAACTTGCAAGAAAAAGAGAGAGAAGATTGTTATTGCCTTTGTCGATGTGAACAACACAAGGAACTTTAATGGGTAACAGTGGAGTCAGTCATTGTTAGATTGCAGAATATTTAGACTGCCAAGAAGAAAGGTCTGACTCAGTGGCACTCAATTCTACGTTCTCTTCGTTTGCAGAGTTCAGTGGTATGGAAAAATCTTTTTATTGAATATTCATAATTCTTTATACTTGAAACAAATTTTCTTGAGCTACACTTTGCAAGGAGCGGCATCTGTTCTCTTAGCTAACCTTGAGTATTTTTTGTATAGTTGATCCACTATGTGCATCCTTGCTTTCTTACATATGTAATTGTGTTTGAGTTTCAGTATTAGTTGTTAGTTTTTGTGTAATGCGTGGAGTGAAGTTCAGGCAGATAGTTTTTTCTGTTTCATTTTGATATAACTAGAATGGTCTAATTTGGTAATATGTAGAGAGTCAAAGAAATGCTTTGAGTGTATTTGATATACGTTGAGCAAATGTCTTTTTTCCCTCGGTCTTACAAATCAATTGTAACTCTGGAAGCATAATGAGGGTTTTACATCTGTGTTTGATCATCAGTTGATTCTGGTTCTAAATAAGAAATGTAGATATACAACAAAACTTCAAATGCTAACCAAGATTGTGGAGAGTTAATGCAAATATGCAACAAGCTGTTATAAAATTACATATCTCACAGCACATGCATATGTACATGAACACTCATAATTTTACTACATTTCTTTCCTTTCAGACTTTAGACTAAGTTTTCACCTGATTTCATAGTAGACATTGTATGGGAAGTCTATATATACACATTCTAGTATGCTATGATTTGTAGGATGTTTGATGTAGGACCATTCATGAGGAAGTTTACAGTCATTTTGGTTAATGAATAATGATCTTCACTGATCTGCTATGAGTTTTATCATTAATCAAAGCTGTTCATATTGGACCAAATTAGCAACAGAAAACCGTGGTAAAGCCTGGTTCTGGAGGGAGTTGATGAACTGAGTTGAGTTTTGTAGTTTATTCTAGAAGTGGAGACGTATGTGGTTTCAGTTTTGTAATAAACCCTCAGCTTGTGTTACATTGCCTGTGATATTTGAGTTGCTTTGCATGTGCTTTTCTTGCAATCTTGAGAAGCTGTCAACAAAAATTTGGTATTTCATCCCTTGGCCAATCCTTCTTAATGCTGATTTGGCACCTGGTATATAGTGAATAGAATCATATTGTTTTATAATAGACGATGAATACAATTGTAGGGTGCAAACACAAATGACCTTTTTTGTTTCTTGAGTTTTCATCTTTGGTCTTTTTGTTTGTTTTCACATGAGTTTACATCAAGTGAGCTTACTGAACTATGGCACAGAGGTTGATGGCGAATAACAAGCAGCTGGAAGAGTGGACTACAGAATTTGTTAAGAATGTTGATCAATTGGCTTCAAGCTAGATGCATGAACTTTCTTGCTTCTGTTGTATGGGATAATTGAGAATAATATGCTGTGCTGAAAAGGATTTATAGGAAAATCATCTCACAAAAACCGATGTTAAAACTATGGTGCAGTTTCTACTAGATTACTGACACATGGTCACAAACTTTATAGTTCATGGATGCCTCAGAACCTAGTGCAAAGCAAACATATGAATCCTCTAGTATATAGGTCGGCAGGAGGACTAACTTGGATGCTCTAAGGATGATCAGGAAAAGTATCTCCTGATCAAATGTCAGATAGTGTTAAAATATGGCGAAATGAGAAGTTTATTAAAATATTTTCAACAACAATATTTGGAGCACATACATCATTTTACTTGCTCAGCAGTTAGATAATGGAGAATAAGTACGCATATGTTTTAGGTAGATGCATTAGTGGTTATTGATAACCTTACCCAATTTAGTGATGTTATTCACTTTTGACACCACATGCAATACTCGTGAAGATATTGGATTTTCAGACATCACAAGAAGGTGATGATCTTGGGTGATGCTGGAGCAAAGGAGTCCAAATTGCAAATTCGGATTCTCTAGACTGTGTGCATGGACTTGATTGATTTGGCCATTAACTTTCTTTAGAGAAGTCCAAATGATGATCCAATTGAAGTGCTGGATAGGTATTTGTGTCTAGTTTTACTTAAGACCGGTCTTATATCATTTAGAGATCTGTGCAGAAAGTAATCTGCAGAATACTGAGGGACAGTCAATCTGGTCTGCAGGGCCTTTTGTTTTTCCTGGGATATATTTAGTTAGTCAAAGTTGTCTTTTAAGTTCTCTATGTTGAGTCTTTTGGTTTTCTATATTTTCTATAATCCTAATGCTTGAAGGGATGTACTAAGCCTATATATATATATACTAGTTGGATTACAGATGCAATGCACGTGGTAATTTTTTAAATTTTATTATTTTATTATTGATTCATTTTATTAAGATTTCTTTAATTTAAATCATGTATCAAACATATGGATAGAATTTAAAAATTCAAAAGGATTGAATAATAAAATTACATTTTTTCTTTAATCCTACTTATTTCTATCTTTTTAAAACAATTGATAGTCATGCAATATAAACAATAGAGATACTATAAGTATCTATCTTTATCATTGGATATTTTGAGCTTTAATGGTTCCAAATTTCTTTCTAGCAGTAAGCTACTTACACCTATTACGAGTGTGAGATTTTCTGATTACATGTCTATGAAATTCATCGAATCAAAGTAAACTGCAAGATTCTTAAAAATTGCGAAGATATTATAGAGCAAGAATTTTTGAGAAGGCAAAAGACCAAAGAATCATACTCTTAAAATAGCAGTTCTATCTTTGATAAAATCAATTGCAGATGAAACCAAAGGTGGAAAACCATGAGACTATAACTAAAAATAAACAAATTGTCTTTCCAGATATGGATCAGGTTTAAATGATATTTACTGTAGAGTTCACTTTAGATTGGGCTCCAATAAGTTTCTTATTAGAATGAAATTTAGATGTCGCATAGATCCACTGAACCTAACTTATCATAGGCTAAAAACAATGACATATAGAACTATTGATTCACCAAAGCCTCTTTTGAATAATTTGCTACCCCTGTTTTTTTAGTAAGCCGTCTGCATTTACGGCTTGTCCCGATATACGACGATGAGAAGGGTCTCCTAACCAACCACTTGTTCTCCCTTCTGTACCATCTAAATTAAAGTTTTCAAGTACAAAATTTAGTAAATGCTAGTCTAGGAAATGTATTTTTGACAGTAGTTAATAAAAATGAAGATATTATAAACACATTTTTTCTATGTTAGGTCTAAGAACATATGACCATGTTAATGAAACACAATAATTGAGTGGCACAGAAGCACTTGGTTAGGAAATAGATAAAACATGTATTGGAGCAAACATGAAGGAGGAAATTTTTTAATAAAAAAAGTTAAACATAATGTATTCTATGACATAAACAAATGTAACAAACTTAATAGCAGACCCCCAAAGGAACAGTTAGCAAAACAACGACCAGATTGCCTATTGACATTACCAAGAATTGGTGCCAACCCAGAGTAGGTCCTACTCCAGAACCCTGTATAGAAGATAAAAAATGAGTAAGATGTTAATATGATAGAGAAAAAGAAATCAAAACAAATGAAAACCTATCAGCAAGAAATTAATAAGCCTATATATGCAAGACTTACAAGAGGTCGTGGAGGAGTGCTAGCAATTTGTGATTGGTACTTCAATATAGTCCAATCAAACACATATTCAAATAGAAATCTTGTAGATTATGATTCAACATCATTCAACATCTTGCTTGAGAATTACAGATATCTGAACCTGCCATCAGCACAAAATTCCTCATCAATATGAACAGCATGAGCTTATCCTCGTGAATAAAAAGGTCACAAAATATTCTTTTAAGTTATGAATAATAATGTTTGTCGTCAAACCGTAGTGAACAGCTGTAGTGGAAGTTGGATGCAAATTATGTAGGCTATTCACGGCATAATGCCTGAAGATAATATGTGAATGTTGTCATGATTAAAAAATATATATCTATTTAGTCATTATTAAGAAAAGTATGAAAATATGTTAGGGTATGTCGGAGTGGTGGAGTCCTAGGCGGCAACACAAAATGAGCGACCAAAATTTTCCCACGCATACACAATTGAAATACCATAAAGTATAAATTGAGAAAATTATTTGATACTGATAATTGAAATACCATAAAGTATAAATCAGGGCAAAAGTATAAATTTACTGGTATTGAGCAAAGATAATTAAAATACATTTAATGCACGTGTATCCCAATTGGACTCCACCACTCCGACATACCCCAGCATTTTCCCACACAGCTAAGCCTGAAGACGAATATCTTAGAACTTGAAACTTATCGGAATATTATAATCAATTTTATGTGTAGAGAACTTCCTGAGCTTTCCAAAGACATATTATAATAAGGAATCCATGAAGCGAGTCAAAAGATATCGTCCTTCAAAGTTGCATCTCGAAATCTATCCGAAATTACTCGTTTTTCTTCCATTGTTCTGCTTTCCCATAATCAGATTTCTTTCAAAAAACATAAATTATTGCCTCCGCATCATAATTTTCCCAAGATTGAAACAATGGTTTAAACTAAAAATTAGTATAATAGTTTATGCCTCTGTTGTTAACAGAGTGCTAGTATTTAAAAAGTTCTTGACAAACTTTTCAAAACATCTAGTTTACAGGTAACTCGTTTCTTCTCTGCATCTGATCTATTTATGTTTGAAAACACCTCATATTTTTTCTTTTATTTTATAAAAAAGGATCGTCGGTACTATTACTGACGGGGCAACCCCATGACCACAGGGTGTCGGAGGTTGCCAGAGACTGTACTGATGGTTGGACTATTATTATTATTAATAATTATTATCATACATTTTTACATTGAAGATAGACTATAAACACAATAAAAATCTTAAAATGAAATTTTATTAACCTCACAAAGGCTATGACGTTAAAAGTTGTACAATATGGTTTAGATTTATAAAGGTTTCAATAGCTTTCTAAATTCCATAACTCCTAAAACCTAAGACCCTGATAGATTCATGCATTACAATTTACAAAACTTCCTTAACCATAATAAATTCATGATTTATAACCTACAAAAACTTTCTTGCAGTTACTGACCCTTGAGGCTATAAATACCCCCCTA